GTATGGTAATACTCTGATTCCAAATCTTCCGAAAGAGGCGTCTGGTTTGTCTTCTTTACACCCTGTTCAACTATTCGTTCAGTCGATTGGCCGTTGTGTGCACCCCGGACGTGTGAACCTCACTCAATGTATGTAGTGTCAGACTGACCTCAATGAACTGCGTTTTTCGAACACTACCTTGAGAATCACATGTTCGGTAGTCGAATGATTTGGTTATAAATCCCTAGGAAAATCACATGGTTTGGTTTGCGTGACCTGGCAGTACTAACGAATAGGTCGACTTATTTGTTACAACGATAATTGGACCATGTGATTTGTTTGACGCACAGTCGTAAGAGATAAGATATAAGATATGAATCACTAGTATATTCTATGATATTTGTTTAGTTGCTGATTTTTTATCCAATATTATCCTGATTCGATAGCCCTACTAAAGAGGATTGTTCAGTGGCTGCAAGTAGTTAAAGCCTATTGATAAATGACGCGCAAGTCAAATGGTTGATTTAGTATGCTGAGTTCGGGCACTGTCCGCACTCTACCATAATCGAAAACGCAGTCCAAACGGGAAAGGAATAAGTCGTGAATGCAGCTGCTGTCCGTGGCACATTTGTTTCCCAGACTAAAACATTGTAAGCAGTTGTTTCGAAAGCTGTCTTTCGGTTGTCCCTTTGGATGAAAGAATTTGGGAAACAACTTGTACCGGACTGACGTCCGATGATAGAGTGACTCGCAGATACCAATCCCCGAATTCGCGTCCGAACACAAGGATGGGAAATCTACGTGCACTGTTTCATGATCAGTCATGATTTAATGGAAATACAATGGCATACCTCAATTTAGGGCAACCCGGTCTGGGCAAAACAATCGTTTCGACGTGACAAGGGCAAACGTGCCAGAAAAACACTCCCTTGGAAATCGGAGGAGGAATGCGATGTGGATATAGCGACAGCGCTATTTAAAGGGCGGTGCGGACTAATCACAGGGATTGGATAACGAAGTGACACCAAAGGCTGGTGGGGGGACGACAGATGGCAACCGTGATCACGGTGTAATTGAGAGAATAGACAACGGACACCAGGAGGATGTCTGGAGTGATTAAACACACAAGGCGGGCGTTAGCATGTGTCAAGACATGACTGATTGCGAGAAAGGAATGAACAGTGAAGACGGTAGGATAATCATAGCGGGTGGGTGACTACAATGACACCAGGCACTTTCTATGCCGGGTCGAGATAAATGATAACGATAGTGGATTGAGCGCAGAACGAGTGGCGACAGTTGCTACGACACAGTTCCATGTGGGCTGGAGATAATAGATCACGGTAACAGGTTGGACGAAGAACGGGTCATGACAATTAACACGAAAGTTGCTATGTGAGGCGTTTGGGTAATCATACGGGAAATACGGAAAAGTGCAAACTGAATGGTCGTGGAGGAAGGATGTAGCAAGTTCCGATCCGGCGGGCAAATGTTATCACACTGGGAGTTGGATAGGACCAAACATGAATTGTTGGGTTTTTAACAGATTGCAGGTAGTTCCGGTGTACGTAATTTCAACCATACGATAAAGCATCTTACACAACTAAAAAGCTGATAGTATCATACTCTAACTAGACAGGATCTGTTCACTTCATCACTTCTATCCTACATGTAAGTGAAACATACTCAGGTTAAGTAGACACAGCAGGAGTCACTGATATATGTAAAGCCGTCGTGAATGTGTAAAATAAACAAGATAGTAATCAAAGTTTCCTAAACTTCTAAGAGATGAGAAACAGTGACCTCTTCAGATGAAAGGGTATCTTGAATAACAAGGGAAATCAAAAAGACAGTTGCTTTTCAGATAAACTACGAATCGTCTATTTAATTCTATGATCAATATTCGAGAAGATATGGTTCAACTACGGTGGATTCTGGATCAAGGATGAACCAGACTGCGGTTGTTGACGAACGGAAGAACAACAAGAAACAAATCACATCTATAATGTAGTTTTAGTAACCATTTGGACGCAGAATAACGAAATGCATCTCGCCGAATTTACTTTTGCATACCTAGACTGTTACATTGAAAAGACACAAACCTTGTATGTTTTCTAACATGTGGTTTGCGTTTTATTTTTCAACCTATGATTTGAAATTCTACGAGAGATGTTCTGATGGGTTCATTATCCTTTTCTACATCATAAAACTGGATGCTTCCGCCTGTGATTTTGCGGAACAGAACGCCGCAGTTAATCAGCGGCTGTCCAGAGGAATAAGGAAATGGGGAAGGTTGATGGGAGTACCTAGATTCGAACTCGTCGCTTCCGATTAGGTGGTATTTTTACTGGGTTTACTGAAGGGATAATCAAAACAATTGGATCTAATAGTTATGTAAATCAAACTGAATACTTTTGAAGCTACCTATGTCGCAGAGACGAAATATTGTTGTATTGTACAGTACAGGCACAACGGGAACGTGATTCCGATGGAATGCTCACACCAGCCAGTAACGACAAAAAATTAGCTGCATTTAACACAAATCGGGAACCAACAGGCGATATGCGATACAACACATCATCATATCTTCATACCAGGTCTTAGCTTGACCACTCTTGGCTTTATTCCACCCGCTATCTGCCTCGGCCAACATCGCACAT